AACATTTCTAAAGAAAAAAATTTAGGCTGATCTAATACATTTTTAGTAATTTTAGTGTAAAGCAGCATTTTATCGGTTTCAGTTTATTTTAATGAGGAAATAAATATCTGTAGCAAATACAGCAGTGATACCGAATACGATGCTATTAAAGTCTTTGGTGAAGTTTTAATGAACGTTTAATCGGAACAGGTTCAATAAATTTTGTGTAAACACCGAGTTCAATCCGGAAAACTCATATCCGAGTTAGAATAACGAAAAGCGATGCCTCAATTGAAAATGTTGCAAAGTTGTTAACTTTGTTCTCATAAATTTTGCAGTGACAAATTAACACAAATATTTTAATTTCCAACATTCATTTAGTTGATATAACATTTAAAGAAACTCAATATCAATTATGATTTTATCATCCTGCCATTTTCCTTACAGAGAATCGGACCAGTATGTATAATAATACTATTCTCGTCTACACATTTCTATCAGCTGTTAATTGAATTTACTCCCTCATTTAGCGCATCCTCTTTCACACATTCCATGGATACTCTCTTGGTCTTCCTCTTCCATTGTAAACCTCCTTGTTCAATCTCATTACTTTCTCGTTTATGTGCCCATTATCTAAAAATCTATTATGATAACCAAATAGTATCAAACCAACACACAATATGCACAATGCATTCAACAAATACTTTATCGAATTATAATACGGAACAGAAATAGGCGAAGTGGCATCGATTGGAATACATCGACGTCACGAGTGTCCCACTGAACCGATTCTGCTTAATCAACGCCCCGGCTCAAACTATTGGAACTATTCGAGGTGATTGAAGCGAGAACTCGAGTTGACAAGTAATCTTGCAGTAATATCCTTCGCGAGAACTCAATTACAACACGCGAGCGCCTTTAATTTCCTCGTGTATTGCAAGTTTGCATCTTCCTGTTCACCATAACGCTTTGTTACCGTTCTTGGTCCATGATATTTGCAACCATTCCAACGAGTTTGTCGGTCATTGAAAATTTACCTTATATCCTAAATTTTATTTTCTTGAACACATAACTTTCTTTGACGTATTTGTCCAAGTTTCTATGTCTTTTGTATTATATTTGCATTAGCTATAGTACTTGTTTATTTCATGGCCTGCAAAACTCATATACAAAATTGACTAGATCACAACCTCATTGCCTACTCTCTCCCCAACCACAATAAAGCGAATTCTGATCGGGAAGGGAATCTCTTGTGATATTCGATAAGATCGGTTAAAAGAAATTAAGATTAGATATCTATCTACCCCAATTTATCTCAAGCCGTAAATTACAATCATATGCAATAATAATATCATAATTTTGGTAATATTCAATCGTAATACCGTTCATATTCTATAGAAAATGAAAACAAAAATGTACAAACCTCTCCTAGAAAATAAATTGCATATTTACCTTTACAAAAAAAAAGGAAAATAATATGGAAATAAACAAAAATTCAGTACTGTGATCATAGCACCAAGATTTACGACAAGCATCTTTGTATGAGATTTTTGGTGTAACCACGCCCGATACTGCACAAATTATAATGCTAGGGTTACCTCTTAGCACGACATTCGTATAATTCAAACTTGACTAAAAATTATTGTTCAACACAAATCCTTTTTGCCACTTGGAGCCACACGAACACCCCTATAGTTATTAGCAATAAAATATTAACTTTATCATAAACTACAATCTTCCATTCGAATAGATTCGATTCTAATGCAGCCGCGTGTTGTCTGCGGCGCTGCCGATTCCTGATATCGATATATTATTACATCGCCTTTGGGTATTAATCAGGTTATTTATAACTTTAGAACCGACAATATAAAACTGCAATTTTGTAATGATTTGTTCAAATTAGATTACTTTTCTACTTCATTTAAATTTTTAATAATCTTTGTAATACAAGAGTAACCAATGTTTTTAACCAACCCTAATCCCGATTCTATATTAATACTCTTTTAACTAGAACCTTATCATTTAATTAAAAATCTGATTCGAGCTGATTAGAAATGTGTTTATTTTCATTAATTCCTTTATATTCGTAGCAGGTGCAAATTCTATGTTAAGTAAGGAAGTTGTATTAAAGTTAACTGTTACGCCAAATCTTGGTAAATACATTGCTAGTGCCATTTGAATAGAACACGCAATGGACCGGTGTCGCAGACTTGCATAGTGCTGTATAGAAACGCTGCAGGTGTCGATTAGTACAGATCTTTCCTTTCGATAGTTGCACGCAATGCTCCAAACATTTCTCATCGAAGATTAAACTGACGAAGAATAGCACAGAGATAAAAAATAGTCATAAAAAGTAAATAATTGATGATTATTAAATAGGACCAATTTTGAACCAAATGATGAAACAATCATTTTTAGCCAAAACTCAGTTTCTTTGAAAAAAAAATAATGTGTTCTTCGTTTATTGGTAACTAACTGTCGCCCGCGAAACTGTCCGCGCGGAATTAAATAAAAATATAATTAGTTGCTTATGTGTTCTTCCAGACTATGTTCTACATGTATGCCAAATTTCATCGAGATCCGTTCTGCCGTTCTGGAGATACTTCCAAACAAATATCCATCCATCTAAACATTCGCATTTATAATATTAGCAAGAGTAGTAAGATGTAATTTGGTATTGTCATTACAGCGACTTTTTATATTTTACGGGGCGCTATTAAGCATGCAGGATTTATCTAATCTTATGTTATGAATATATTGTACCGTATTTATAAAATTAAGCATATATAAATGGTGGAATCTATTCCTACCATCTCAAGTGAGCTCGCTATTCCTGATAAATGGTGGCAATGCGGTAATATCTGAGCAGATAACACTATAGAACAGGACTTTCTAAGTTGGTAAATAGCAGCTGATTACAGATACGGTTGAAATTCAAAGTGCAAAATACTTCGTATTTTAATTAAGTGCATAAGGGATGAGAAACTTTGCTGATCATAACTTATCTCTATTTAAGAGTTGCTAGATCTTCCTATTTTACCTCTCTGTATGTCAAGAACTAATAAAATTATTAATTAACTAGCTGTAGCCTGCGATTCAGTCCGCGCCGTAATAAAAAGAACTTATTTAGTATGCCTACATGTTCTTCCACACTATATTCTGCATCTATGCCGAATTTCAACGCGATCCATACAGTCGATCTGGAGATATCTACAAACAAATATCCATCCATCTAAACATTCGCATTTATAATTAGTAAGTAGTAAGATTAAAATATATTACTAAAGATAAAATTTAGGTTCTAGATGGCAATATCCTTTAAAATGTAAAATCCCCAAAACTACATATAAATTAGAATAAAGGATGGTCTTTTGAAATGGGAAGGGCTACTAATCAGAAGGGATGATACGAGATCGTAAGTGTAACATCATCAGTAGTCTAGGCACGTTCTGTCCAGGCTGTCGCACGGAAGGCAGACATTGGGAAAAAATACGGGGGTAAGTTTCCCGAAAGTGAGGCAAGTCATTTATCACGCTAGCGCTAAGAACTCTCGACATCGAGAACTTTTGATACAGGGTGCTCCAAAAGACATTAATAATAAGGATATCATGATGCTTCAAATGTTTTTTGCTTGTAGGCATCGTGTTTTATCACTTAAGTAAGGAAACTTATCTCTAAGGCTACAGCTTTTTGCTCTATCATTGTTGACAAAGAGTTTGTTTTGGCAATAAAGGAATATATTGTCATGATGCTTATTAAATACTTTAGTATTTATGGAGTTTTATATATTATGTTATGTATTAAGTTATGTATATTGTTTATAGTTTTATGTACTTCCTGCACGTGTAAAGTTTTCATAACAAATATCATATTGTTCATGATAGTTTTACTAAAATATAGTCAAATGTATGTCAACATCAGCTCACTATAGGTCCCCACCGAGGGGCTCGGAGCCTACCCTAAGTTAAGGGTGATTAGGCCAAAGTCAACCACGCTGGCCAAGTGCGGGTTAGTTGACTTCGCACATATCTTTGAATTCTTCTAAGATATGTGCAGGTTGCATCACGATGTTTTCCTTCACCGTAAGAACGGCGGATAAATGTACATATATAAATCGGAAATCGAACAACATATTGGTACATGGCGGGATACAAACCCAGGACCTGCAAATTGAAAGTCAAGTGCTTAACCACCGAGCCACCGACGCTCTCAAATATATGTAAAGTAAGTTATTCAAGTCTTATTGGTACTTGTTTCTAAACTCTAACGTAAGTAGCAAAGTTCTAGTTAGACTATAAACGATTTTACGTGTCGAACAAGGAAATCAAATTATCAACTTTCGCCAGTATACCTCGTCCCTAGCAGTTCGCACGGGGTACGGGAATCTATTTGAAAACTGGTGCAATGTGTTTTGAGAATTCCACGTGGGGTTTGTTCCTAAAGTAACGTCTTGCTCCCCATGATATCTAACAAGCTTTATTGTATACTTCCAAGAATGCCAGCTGAGAATGTAATATTTCACCAGACATAAAGAATTTGGTTGCCAACTACCCGCTTTTGATTAGAAGTCTTTAGTTTAATTATAAGGAACGTACTAAATTATAGGGCAAGGTACAGTCATAACAGTATGACTAACGTTCCTGTATATTTGCACAGAATGCACCATTTAAAGTAAGCAACCACAGTTTGTAATATCAATTAAACACGGACAAAATATTTTAGTTGCCCTTTACCAAATCTAAATTTCTAAAAATGAATCACTCACTCGTTCACGAGAATATTAATAGGTCATCCGCATTAATAGTGCTTAACCTTTCTTTTCCTCTGTCGATACGCGACGGCTCGATTAAGAAAACAGCACATAATTGTGCGAGAGCGACCACGCTCGCAAGTGGCGCCATGCGAGCGAACGCGTAACTATGTTGGGGCGATAGGGTGCGGGGGGCGTGTAACCGAGTGGGGCGGCTAGAGGCGCACCACTCTCACTAAAAAGTCGTGCTGCTTCGACAGTCGCGCTCTAACCATGCTGCGTGGGGCACGTTACCGCCTTCTCTCTAAAGCCGCTCATACTCGTTCGCGGCACGCGATGTAAACATTGACCGGTCAAAGGACTAGTGTATTCTTGTTTCACACAGTGAGAAGTGAATTAAAGTTTAATAGAATAAAAAGGAATAGTACAAATGTGTTTTAAAAATGTATCATTTGCTTCCTCTTTTGTTGATGATATTAAGTGTTAAATCGACATTAACCTCGCGAGGTTTAGACAATTGTATTCCCGCGAGGAGTGATAAGGGATCAACCTTGTGTCATGTTCGAACTCTCGATTCCGGTGGATCCAGCTTAGATTCAGCATCAGAGTACACAAAGCGGCTTACAATAGAATGTAACCAGCTGTTGTTTTTCGAAAGTTCGCTTGAAGCAAACTATTTTCAAAGATTTACAACACTCGCCGAACTATCTCTTCGGAACTGCAAACTTCTCAAAATACCGGGGAACGCGTTCGAAGGATTACGTGAGTTGAAAAAGTTGTCGATTCGATCAAAAAACTACGATTGGAGCCCGAATAAAAACTTAGAACTCTCTTTGGGAACCTTCAACGGATTAAAAGAACTTCAGATTCTTGATTTGGGAAAAAATAATTTAAAATCTGTACCCTCTGATGTTTTTTGTCCTCTCGGCAACTTGCAAGTGTTGAATATAACTAATAATAAGATAAAAAGTATAGATCGAATTGGCTTTGGAAAAAATTGTGGTCCAGGATTAACAAGTTTGGATTTAAGTTATAATGAACTTAAGTCATTAAGCGAAGAGAGTGAATTTACAGGACTTCGAAGACTTCAAGAGTTGAGACTTCAGCATAATAATATAACAGACGTCTCAGGTGAAATATTTAATGGATTTCCTGCTCTCAGAATATTAAATATTTCCTTCAATTATATTCAATCTATACCCGACGGAACTTTTACGAATACAAAAGAATTAAGAGAAATCTATCTAAACAATAACCAACTGTATGAATTGGCTAGAGGCGTCTTTCATCGATTAGACCAATTGCTTGTTTTAGATTTATCCAATAACCAGCTTTCAAGTGCTCATATCGATGGCGGCACATTTGTTGGTCTCATAAGATTAATCATTCTTAATTTATCTAATAACGCCTTGACAAGGATAGATGGTAAAACATTTAAAGATTTGTTCTTTTTGCAAATATTAGATTTAAGAAATAATTCTATTGGTTATATTGAAGAGAATACTTTCCTCCCTCTGTACAATTTGCATACTTTAAATTTAGCGGAAAATCGCTTGCATACTATTGACGAGTTCCTTTTTAATGGGTTGTTTGTTTTAAGTAAATTAAATTTAAATAATAATTTATTAATTAACATACATGCTAAATCATTTAAAAATTGTTCAGATTTAAAAGAATTAGATTTAAGTTCAAATCAGCTTACCAAAGTCCCAACTGCAGTTTGGGAGTTATCAATGTTGAAAACACTTGACGTGGGCGAGAATTTAATAAGCGAAATTAAAAATGGCACTTTTAAAAATTTAGATCAATTAACTGGATTAAGACTTATCGATAATCAAATTGGAAATATAAGCGTGGGTATGTTTTGGGATTTGCCTAGTTTACAAGTTTTAAATTTAGCCAAAAATAAAATTCAATCTGTTGAAAGAGGAACATTTGAACGTAATAAGCAATTAGAGGCGATTCGATTAGACGGTAACTTTATATCAGATATAAATGGCGTGTTTTCAGCATTGATGAGCTTACTTTGGCTTAATTTGTCAGAAAATCACTTAATTTGGTTTGATTATGCATTCATACCAGCTAACTTGAAATGGCTAGATGTGCATAGTAATTTTATAGAACATTTAGGTAACTATTATAAACTTCAAGATCAAATTCGAATAAAGACGTTAGATGTAAGTCATAATCGCATTGCAGAAATATCCCCTTTAGCAATTCCTAATAGTGTAGAACTGTTGTTTATTAACAATAATCATATCAACAATATTCATGTAAACACTTTCATTGAGAAACGTAATCTCACAAGAGTTGATATTTACGCTAATGACATATCTCATTTAGATATTAACAGTCTTCGCATATACCCTGTCCCGTTAAATAAGTCGTTACCAGAGTTCTATATAGGAGGAAATCCATTTGATTGTGATTGCTCAATGGAATGGTTGCCGATGATAAACAACATGACAGCAATGAGGCAGCATCCCAGAATAATGGATCTTGAAAATGTCTTATGTAAAATGACACATACCAGAGGAGTTTCTCATATACCACTGAGTAATCTTAAATCGACTGATTTCCTATGTACTTATGAAACACATTGCTTTACTCTGTGTCATTGTTGTGATTACGTGGCCTGCGACTGCCAAATGACCTGCCCATTTAACTGTTCCTGTTATCATGATCCTACTTGGCATACGAATGTCGTCGATTGTTCCAGCCAGCAAGCGAATGAAATACCAGAAAAAATACCAATGGATGCTACTGAAGTCTACTTAGATGGAAATGATTTTAAAGAATTGCAAAATTATGCATTCATCGGAAGGAAAAATATGAGATCGCTTTATGTTAATTCAAGTAACGTCGAGAACTTACATAATAGGACGTTTGCTGGCTTATCCTCGCTTATTATATTACATCTCGGAAGTAATAAACTGAAATATTTAAATGGGAATGAGTTTGAACATCTTACACAACTCAAAGAATTATATTTACAAGACAACTTCATAAGTTACGCAGATAATAGCACTTTTGCTTCTTTACCCTCATTAGAAATTTTAAGATTAGATGGCAATAGACTAATAGAATTTTCGATTTGGAGCTTAAGTGTTAATCAGAATTTGCATTCAGTTGCTTTAGGCAATAATATGTGGTCATGTAAATGTCGATATTTACAAAAGTTTACAGCATTTTTGTCTGAAAATGCCGCTACAGTTAGAGATATAAAAGATTTATGGTGTTGGAATTTAAACAATGGATCACCACAAAAAAGAGAACTAAATCTGAACGGCACTATTTGCAGCGATTATTATGCTGGAGATTCGGTTATAGATAAAATGTTGGTTTCTAATTACATGCCTATGTTAGTGACAACATTTACTGGATTTATGCTTATTATGTTAGTGACGTTAACAATGTTCATATTCAGAGATTCAATTCGTATATGGCTCTATACTACTTGTGGTATAAGATTATTACCTCTCGCCGGAGCGTACGATGACAATGACAAATTATACGACGCGTATGTATGTTATAGTCCAAAAGACGACGATTTTGTCATACAAACGTTGGCTGCTGAATTAGAAAACGGAAGTACCTCGTATCACCTATGCTTACATTACAGAGATATACCGAGGCAAGGGGCCGCTTACATACAATATGCATTACCACTGCCGGAAGCAGCAGAAGCTTCAAAGCGAATAATACTTGTTTTGACAAGAAATTTTATAGAAACCGAATGGTCCCGTTACGAATTTCGACAAGCTTTACATGATTTATTAAAACCAAGAATATATACATTGATTATAATAGAAGATACCGCAGTTTTACCTGATGCTCTCTGCGATTCTGAGTTAAGGCCTTATTTAAAAACAGCTTCAAGAATAAGATTAGGTCAGAATAAATTCTGGGCAAGCCTCCGGTTAGCTATGCCCGTAAAGAAACGAAAAACAAAATCTTCAAGTTACAAGAACAACTTGAATTCTTATACTATGAGAAGTGGTGTACATAATGGAACGATGAGATCTTTTTCATTCACAGAAAAAACGAGAGACCATGTCAATGATGCCTCTAATCACGAATTTTCGGAAAGTCATATGCAACATGCACAAAGAATATACGGCCTAAATGGTAGGCCACCATCGGATCATATTTACACTTCTATTGATTCCGATTACTCTTCCCTGGAATTAGGTGGTAATAATACGAATCGGAGAAGAGATTTAAGGATTTGGCCGCCACCACCTCCCATAGTTGACAATCAGCGTTCAGGTCAAGCTTATCTAGTCTAGTATTTAAGCTTTCGTGCAACTTTCTTTTTATTTATAATTTAGTCAATGCTTGTTGTGTAAATTATATTGACTGCAATGCTCGCTTACCAAATAACTAAGATTATTGTCTATTTTTGTATTTCTAGCCATTTCAAACGGCATTAATTTCATAACATTGTTGTAAATACATTCTATAAGACTGCTGTAGAATATGTGAATTTGTATATAATTTGTAAATAAATGTCCATAGGAGTCACAAGTATACCTATTTATATACTTTAATAAAGCCATTGTGATAATTTTTGCATAAAACTTTTTTTTATTTATCTCACATTCACTTACCTTACCTATTATATTAATTAAAGATATTGAAATATTGTCTAAATTATGTCATTTTTATTTATAGCCAGGGATATTTGAAAATTATACAATAAATTAAATTGAATAAACGCATTTTGCTTTAGTATATGATTTTAAATTTTACTATTTTATTTCATCTAGTTTTCAATATAATCAAGGTTCGATTCCTGTTGTCATATAAAAGTTCTATTTTATTGTACTCATAGTACAAAACCTTTTGATATTCTCCTACTACTTATAATAAATTCTTTAAACTGTGAATTAATTACTCTATTCATATCATTTCATTTAAAGAGTATCTGGCGACACTTGTAAGTAAGCCTGGGCGCAGGCAGTATTTTCTTACAGCACACAATGGAAAGGAACAAGGGGCTTAGAGATAGTGCATCCGTTACTAAGCGATTCCATAATGAATTTAAAAATATATGAAATTGATGAGCAACAATCACTTGAGTTATCGAAAGTTATTGTCAGTGCATTTTTGAAGTTCGCTATGGAATCGCCTCAAAGTGAATGCATTGTATCTAACCCACCAGGTAAGGTATTTATGGTTTTTATTTTTCAGGGTTTTTATCATTTAAATTAGTCGTATAAATCTATTAATGTGTACCGTGAAAAATGGATTAAGGAAAAATACAAAATAAATTAATTTTATGATATATAAGATTTAATAATAGCTCAATTGTATTTAATACTTAAACACTAAAAAAATAATCAAGACAAAATAATATTCTCCATTTTTTCGTTTAATTTATATTATAAGATTTCCAATAAAAATACGACACTATTCATGTCTTTCCAAGACATGTCATAATGTACTATTCAAACTTTTTTCATTTAAGAATGAGAAAACTACGTTCTTTGAGGCAATTTACAAAAAGCTCGGTAGGTAATAAAAAGTCTAAATATTAGGCAGTGATAACGAGCTTTATGGCCGTGAGATGGAAGATGGGAATAATTTTATGACGTAAAAATGGGTCATATCGTGGAAGTAGAGCTTTTTTATTTGCTGTTAGTCAACCGCCTTTGTTTGGCCATACTCTACTTTCTCCGTACTACCTTACCTGGAATGGTTGTACTATAAATTGTGTTTAATAAGGACATCTTAAATTTATTATTTTAGTTTTATACCACCAGGAATTATGTGATAGTCAAACTTATGTTACGTAACATTCTTGAAATTAGCTACATATAAAAAAATCATGTTGTGAAAATTGACTTTGTATTTATTTACTTTACACATTGTGAAAAATATAAGAATATTGTAATTTGTCTCTCGTAACACAAAACTGAGTAATTTTAATGTTTAATGTAATTCATCATCATCATCATCATCATCATCATGTAATTAACGTGTTAAAATTTTAATTTGTTAATTAATTTAGAACATGTGCCTCAGCTCGTTCACCACATATTTGCTTGGTTTCCTTTCGAGTCAAAAGTCGGTAACCGCTTGAATCCTAAATGATCAAAGTTGATTCGCTGCGTGTACAGACCGCGAGCGCATAAATAATAAATTTAATGAACGTCGAGTTTCTTTGAAAGTTGTACTACTAAGAAGTGAAGCTTAAGTGACTCTGTAAAATTTCTACATAAGTAACAAAGTAGTCCAAACATGTACGACCACAATTTGTTTACTTAACTAAAGTATGTTTTATGAAGCGATTTTTTATCAAATGTTTAGTATTTAAATATTGTAAACGGCAACGCATCTGCAGTTCCTCTGGTGTTGCAGATGTCCATGGGTGTCGTTGATCACCTCGTTGTTCCCGAAGCTCGTTTGCTCCCTTTACTTATAAAAATAAAACGGTGTCTCCAAATGTTCGTAATTCGTAATGATAATAATTTTGCAAAAACATCGTTGAACAAGGAAATTTTCTGGTAGTTTACGCTTAATTACTATTATATTATTCTCGTTCTCCTTTTGCTGCAGGCACCTATTATTATCGTTCACGGTTTGTTGAACACCTTAAATGGTAAGATTTTACTATCTAATTTCCATTCTGCAAAATTCTATTTGGCTCATTGTACAATTTTCAGAACAGCAAATGTGGCGTTTATTAAATGTTTTATAGCGTTTACTGAGAGAAAACATACTCTTAGTATTTATTGATAAAGTTAAATTCAATTCCGTTTACAAGACGTAATTGTTATGCAAGTAAATAAGGTCCTTGTCACACTTTTACGCTGGCTTTAACGTTTTATAGGAATATTCATTTTATGTTTTAAAAAATTTACAAAACTTGAAGTAATACTCCAGATAAAATGAAAAAAAAAACTCATTAATTGCTTAGTTATAAATTAAATGGACTTAGTTGCTATAATTCTTTAAAAAAATCATCTTCAGAAATTAATTTCATCAAACGGAAAACGAACCATATTTTAAAAAATACTAACGAATTGAGAACTTCTTCCTTTTTGAAGTCGGTTAATAAATTAAATATACGGAAAACTTATTCACATAAAGAGTATTTCAAATTAAAAAGAAAAAGGAGATTTAATAAATCATAAGTTTGTGCCACCCGTGTATCCCGTCCTTTGATTCAGTCACGGCTCGTGTCAAAAGAAAACCGCTCACAAAGGATTGTTATTGCAAGTGCGCTCCGATTTGTTTATACAACTTTGATAAATTAGACGTATGTTGGTAGTGGCGGGACAGATTTTTTTTTTTCATTTTAATTTTATTTCTGTTGACAGAAGTTAAAGGGCCATGGAAGACAAAGTGTAGTACGTTTTATTTGCTACATTACGAGAATTTCATGCCTATGTTTATAGCCAATAAATACTTTGAACATAGCATATCTTACGTACTACTAATGCAGTAAGAAGTAAACATTTCAAGATTATTAAAAAAAAACTTATAATATAAATGCTCCGAACATTTTTAAATAAGTTCATTTTGATAAATATCATTCGGATGTCATACCATCTATACGTTAATTAAACTTGAAGTACGTTAAGTCGAAAATATTTATAGTATCAAATTTCTTTTAGTATTAAATAAACAAAGGTTACAATAGATTAAGAGCAAGCTGTGGGTAAGATCTCTTGCATCTGTCGAAATTCTCTGATAAGGAATCGCTAGAAAAAAAAACTATGAGAATGATTATGGTTTACTTGGCTTCTGAATAAATACTAAATTCAAAAACATAGTTGAAAAATGTAAGTAGTTTTCACGATTTGTAAAAGTATAATTAAGTTTAATAAACATTTTGTTTTAAAATTCGAACTGTCTAAATTCACAGTCACGCTTAAGTTAGAATAAGTTTAAAATATTAATAAATTTGTTTCTATACAATTGTACCTTTCAACGTTAATTCAGTTGCGAACAAAGTATTGTTTAAAATTTTTAATTACTTTCCTTCTTTTGTTTTAAGACAATGTAAAAAGAAATGAACAAAACAATCTGGGTGAAGAAAAAAAACTTATCGTGTGAAAATCGCCTACGCTACTCTAGTGATGTAGGGCGGACCCGACTATGTAATTTAATACTTTCTACTGAGTACGTACATTACATTCACATAAATAATTATACGGTCGCCGCTCGTCTGACATTTTACTTTGACAGCTCAATATTCATTTGGCAAAAACATTTGGGCGGAGAGTGCGCGAGTGAATCTAAACTCGGGAACATCTTAATTCCTTTGTTTATTGTTCTCTTAATCATCGCTGAATGACAGCCTCGGGGCGTCATTAAATAATTCAAACGTGATTATAAAAGGGTTCCGTGTATGGAATTTTATATTATCATTAACTGAATATACGAATATGCAACAATGGCAGCGAATGTTTCACAGAAGAAGGAGAATGCTCGTTCGATGTTGACAGATCACTGCTATTCTAATTTTGCTTATGAATTATAACAAAAGTTCTTTATCATTCTGAATGTGGTCCATGGGTCTAAATTAGTGTCCTAGACAAAGTGCTCTCGCTCCGAAACGATTCCATAAGGAACTTCAAAAATGTATGGAACTGACATTGACTTTCGATAAGGCACGTGATTGTCGCGCGTCAGTTCTATACATTTTAAAAGTTCACTATGGAAACGCTTCAAAGCGAAGCACTTTGTCGAGCCTAGCTGATCTGTTTTAATTTTTGATGGCTTAGTGCTTACTGCGTGCGTAATCTCGTTCAGGATGCACGTGGCTAATTCTATGTTGGAAGAAAGTGGTAAATCATCAAACGCTTCATTTGATGTTAAGTGAAACCGTTGTTCACAAACAAATGAATGACAATGAGAATTTTAGCTGATATAGTGTTGTCTCTCTCTGTTTTGGTTCAATGAGGAGCTAGATTTGGACAATCTTTAGTAGTTTTAGACAGTTTAAGTTAGAATTTTTTAGCGCGAATGGATTGATTTTGTTACAAAGTCCAGTGTCAGAATGAATAGTGTGGGGACACAAACGTCGACATTTTAGTAAGGCTAGTGTTGCGTCAATACAATCCCACATTTTTCGTTTTTCTTCCTAACAATAGTAAAGAGAAATATTACAAAATAGCTTTGCTGATATCGATCTGACTATATTTTATACCCCAACACTGTATAGACGAATGTTGACGTTATCTTCGTTAAGCTCTCGATAAACAATCGCGTTAGTTAGAAATATAAATTACGTAGTGACTTTGAGGAGCGTAAGTTTGGACGTGTATCGATCCATTAGCCGGAGCCGGCATCCATCACAGCGGGCAAACATCGGACCCATAGTACCCATTATATTGGACAAACACACGCCCGTTTGGCTTCTGGGCTTTAAGAAATACTTACCAACTTGTTGATCTTAGATAACATTGTTTCGTTTACTGAACACAATAGATTAATTTATATGTATGAGTTATGAGTCTATGCTCTAACCAAAACAATGACGACTCCATAGATTAGCGGTTATTGCGCTAAGATGTAACGCATCGGGTCTTCAGTTGGAAA